GATTAGTCGTCGTTTCAAAATATGGTACATAGGCTTTCTCAATCAAAACTTCTGCAAGTTTCACACGTTTCTGAGAGGTAACGAAAATAACAGCTCCCAGAATCGCGATCTCCTTTTCGAATTGCGCTATCTCCTGTTGTCCTGCGCTCAAGTTCTTTTTGTGCTATTAGCCGCGTGTACTGAGCTTCTTCTCTTGCCGCTTTAGCTTCGGCTAGCGCTTGCAATCTAGCGGTAGTGCTGCTAGTTTTTGAAGGCTGATGAATGGCGCGAGGAACGACGAGAACACATAGATCTTGTCTCCAACAATTTGTTGGATTGTCTAATAATTCTATTCTTTAGACTGTCTAAAAGTAAGAGGGCTCGGTTAAGGGTCTCGTTCTCTTCACTAAGTTGAGCCTCTTCTAAGTAATCGCCGCGTGAATCTTGTTCGTACAAGCCAATTAGCTCTTGCAACAATCTTCCAAACTCCTCCGATTGCATAACACTGAGGAGCCCTTTACGCGATCTAAGAATTTGCCTCCGTTTTAAGTTCTACAGCGCTTTGTAGAGCCTTTTGTGTGGGTCTCGTCTGCCTTTTGCTCCTGGCTCCGCTCTCCTTGGCTCCTTCTACGTTCAGCCACTCTTTTCCTGGGCTCGTCATTCTCGATGGCTCCGGGTTAAAGTATGATACCGCTTACCTCCATTCGTTGATTTTATCCACAGACTTTTCACTGTCGCGTACCCAGTGCAGCGGACACGGAGTGTTGTGCACTGGAGATCGGGAAGTGTCAACCACAGTATAGAATTTAACAGCACAAGTTTACTCAACAGCATTTAATATGATCACCAGCTCGTCTGAATTATTGTACACATGCGGTGAAAACTAAAAGGGGAAATTACAATGTACAAGATCAAAAAAGGGGCTAAGACTAATAACAAAAGAAGCAAAATTGAAAGGAAAAAGAAAACTAAATACAATAAGCTGAAATTACGTCTGATCCTTTCTAAAGGGCTACAGAAACTCCAACGTTACGTAACTCCGAAAAAGATAAAACTGCTCTGAAAACTCCAATGTTGCTCCGTAGATTTCCTAACTCCAACTCCACAAAAACTTAAGGGGCGTTCTCTGATAAAGGTACGATTCACGTGTACAGTTGTAAAACCGGTTAGAAAACAGGAATGGCTAGCTACGTAATCGATTCAAACTGTGAACAATAGTACATGAAAATAGGGGCGTAAAAACTCGATAAATGAAACAGAACAGAAACGTATCATATCTAAATCAAAACAAAACTAAGCTTAATTACGTAATCAAGTTCTCTTTGATTGAATGTTCATTGTTCATCACAATAACTCCAATATTTCGTGCACTGGGAGAGCAGGATACAGTCTCATTACAATATCAACAGAAGATAGTGGTGGCCGAGGTCGATAGGAAGAGGATATTACGAGAACCTCAGACTTGTCTTCATTTAATTTCAGCTTGTTGGAAAGCATCCACGCGTCCATGTCCCGAACACAGTTTACCAATTTGGCGTCACTCAGATTCATATCAGAAACAGACGACGTCCTGAACGTAATATATAGCTGGGTGTCATCAGCATAAAAGTGATAGAACATTTGATGACGTCGAGCGGTCTCACCAAGAGGGGATGTGTACATTGAATATAACAACGGTCCAAGAACGTATCCCTGCGGTACACCAAACTCAAGAACATGAGAAGCGGAGCACGCACCATTAACCTGCACAAACTGTGCACGATCAGAAAGATATGATCGAAACCATTCCAATACAGTTCCAGTAATTCCAAAGCGATTGGACAGTCGCGAGAGGAGGATACCATGATCAACAGTATCAAATGCAGCCGAAAGATCGAGAAGTACTACGATATGTCATTGTGGACTCTAATAAGAGCCGTCTCTGTACTATGGTTTCTCTTATTGGCTGATTGATATGTTTCACCAAGGTCATTAATATCTAAGTATTGAATCAGCTGTTTAGCAACACATTTTTCAATAGTTTTAGATATGAAACGAAGATTAGAAATAGGCCTATAGTTCTTGAAGTCGTTCGAATCCAGAGAGGGCTTTTTGAGCAATGGCTTAAGTATAGCTTGTTTAAGTATTTCAGGCATCCGACCAGTTTCCAAGGAAAGGTTTACAATGTTATGTACTACTGGGAGAATAGAAGGAAACAGACATTTAAGTACATGACCAGGAACAGGATCTAAGTCACAGGACTTAAGGGTAGTTGAGC